TGCAGATGGACAGCTGAGTCTTGTCCTGTGGAGGTGGCTCTTCATGAATATGAATGAATGAATATGCCTTTTTTAACTCACTAACAACAAAAAACACTTTATTCATTTTCATTTTAAATTCATCAAAACTGCAGAGAAGCAGCAAACTACTAAAGTGCGAGTGTGACACGTGTTACACTCATGACAGGACGGTTATCGGCTGCTAGCTACACTCTTATTGGTCGTAATGTTGTCTGAGGTCTACAACAGAAAAGCACGTGAGGGACGTTCACTAAATGAGTAACAACAACAGAACAAAGACAGGTCCTCTACTCACCTGTAGGTGTGTCCTGTGATCTCATTCCGCACCATCACACAGTCCACCAACCATTTAGCCAGCAGGCCGGCGTTATCGTGACCCAGCTGCACCGTGGTGAGCTTCCCCAGGTTCTGACACTGAACACAGAGAGCAACTAGTTAATCGATAATCTCTTTCATCACTGTGCATGATATACTTGTCTGTCTCTGGTTAATTCAGTTATTTGGGCACAAACGCTCTATTTTTTATTTATTTTTTACATTTCCTTCAGCATATTTTCCTAATAGCTCCAGCAAAGACACACAGAGCAAAGCTTCAGTCAGCACTCATGTACGCAGCACATTCTGGCAGGGTAAAGGAGCAACTTTGAGCAAGTCAAACACAGAAAAGAAGCATTTCAAAGGGCTTGATGGTGGGAGATGGAGCTGTAGAGCTTTGCCTAACCTTGAATATGGCAGAGATGTGCGTGTGAGGCCTGAAAGCAGACTGAGGGAGATGGAAACACACGTTAAGACACAAAGAATGGACAATAAAAACATCACTCATGCATGCAAACTAGGCCTGGCTCACAGAAATCCTACTTGTAGGATTTGACACTGTAAAAAAAAATTGATGTATTGGAGTGCACTGCATAGAAGTGCCACTAGGGGGCAGTCTTCACACAACCTACATCATTTCATAATCGATCTTGCTTGATGGAAAATTTCTTGAGGTAAAAGGAGAATTGTTTAGGAAGTAGACTGCTGTGAATGTGATGGATGCTGCTGAAATTCACCACAATTGGTTCACTTTTAGAACTAAAAGAGCAGCTTTAAATGCTTCTTAGTCAGGATGGGCGATAAACTCGCACAGGCGACTTTTTTGTGAATTCATACGTTTTGTTTGGAGCGAATATTTTACTTTCTCTTCTTGTTTGTGTCAGAATTATTATAGCTACTTTTTGGATTATTCATTTATTTAAGATGCACCAAATCGCACAAAAGACTTAACGTTACATCAAAGATTTATTTTTATTTTACATTTTTATTTTTAACTTACTTTGTGTTTTATTTTGTATTTGTTGTTTGGTCGGGTGTGTAAGACGGATAAACACTGGAACGACCTGTAAACACAGTTATAATGGGGAAAAGAAGCCAGTTTCTTTGTTTCCCTCCATTGTGGGTTTTTAAAAATGTAAATAATGTAATAAAGTTTTTTTTTAACATAGGCTGCTGCTTTTCCTTCTGTTATGAGTTTGAGGAAATGAATGGCTGAATTTGGGCGCACTCTGAGGAGGCTGCAGCTGGAAGACAGTGGCGTTAAAACAGTGTTATTATTGTTTTCCATTGGCTCCTTCTACTAGGTTCAACCAAAATTATTAGCAAACTTACTCATGGGCGAATAAATGAATGGCTCTTGTAAAAATGATCGGCGAAAGGCTCGGCCTATCGTCGATGTTCGATGCATTCATCCACTCGGCCAACTTTAGTTCTTAAAACTGCAAAACTCGTGCAACATGGACACAGAGCAGGAGAAATTCTCCAGAAGTTATGGGAACTAACTCTCCAGTCCAATATTGCCTATTGAAGAAATGCTGAAGCCAAGGCAAGAAGCATTTTACATATCACGTCATGTTTTGGAGCCTTCTCCCGAGACTTCTGGGATGAAGTATTCTCTTTACGGTACCTTTACGAAACACTGATTTTTGATTACTGTGGCTTTAAATAAGCTGAAGTGCACCGTGTGATGTTTGACAAACAGTGACAAGGAGTGAAAGATAGAAAACACAAACTTAATGCCTGCACACAACATCAGAGTGGCTGACAGCATGATCAACTTGTGGGAGGTCAAAGGTCACAGTACTCACATCAAAGGTCATTTCTAATACATTCTTGGGGATCTGCATGATGCCCGAGTCTCCCAGTTCCCCTGAGACACACACCCAGGGGTTGGATGTGGTCATAGCGTTGCTCAGCTTCTTGATGGGGATGATGATGACTCGGTACGGG